CTGTGTAGTTGATGTAGAAACACTTTACTTTAGAACAACAACAAGGTGCCAAAATTTTTCCTGTAAAATATTATAAGTGAAATGCTTCTGTAACTGGGATTTTTGCCTATCCAGCACATCCCAACTCTGGCAGATGCCAGATAATAGCTTTTACTGTACAAACAAAAATATTCTTAATAAATTCATGTAAATATTGTATATTGTAAAATTGAAAAAAAAAAGCTTTTAGAAAAACATGTGGCCTTAAAACAACTCCTGATCATACTAAACTAGCTGTTTGGCACCTTATACTCACCTTCACACTTCCCTGTTGTTGAATCAAGTGTATAGCCTGTTCCACAGCTCTGGATCCGAATACAAACAAATGAGCCAAGTGTGTTTTCACAGCGCTGACCAACCCTGCAGTTGTGTAGCTCTAATGGGCATTCATTGATATCTAAGAACAAAAATATTTAATTATCTATCTACTCACAAGTATTTATGCAAAACTGGGCAAGTAAAAAAAAATTAAATTATACTTATCCTGAAATTTCTATGAGTATATAATTATTTTTCTAACATGCAGCTAAGTTATACAAAAATGCAAGCAAAAAATATCTCCGACTGTAATGATAAATTTCTCACTTCTGGGACGAAAATGTAAAAAATATTTTTAAAAAACTAATAATATATATATATCCATCTTTCTATACTCAAAATCAAACAGTGAAAAGAAACAAGTAGTTATTATTGTATAAAAAAAAGTTTTTAGAAAAACGTGGCCTTAAAAAAACATATCAGACTGAAACAGTTGTTTTGCACCTTATACTCACCTTATAACAAGGTATTATAAATTGGTATTAGAAGGACAATTTTAAAACTTCTGAGATAAAACATTTTACCCTGCATGGTCAAATCCTGTTGTAATAGAAGTCCAATAATTGAAGGTGACTAAAAACATTAACATTATCTCAATTGAAAAAATTTTTTTAGTAAAAAGTAAATAAATTGAAACAAGATTTTCATCATCAGTTCTATCAGTTGTGTTAGCCTTACATCAAGAAATAATCAACCACACTAAAAATTTTTCCACTGTTTGTTTAATAGAGTAAAAGCTTTGTTGTCTAGTTTCTTCACACCTGGAAGCTCTTGTAACCATCATCAGGGGGTACATCTTTTACCATAAACATGTGGACCTGTTCTTCTATACAAATAATTTAAGTGATCTACATGATAACCAATGTTTATTAAAATCAGAAATTAGTGGAATTTTTATTCTTTTATATAATATTCAACTGGTTGTTTGACACACACACACACCCCCAATGTGCTCCCCTTTCTCTCTCTACACATTCTATTTAGGCTGCTACTACTCAGCATTTGTATCCCTCCTGTAATTGTAACCTTTCATCCCAAGCTATTCTATTTTTGATTTCATATCGTAGTTATAAATCAACAACAGCACCAACTGAGAGCTGTTGGTTTCCTAAAAACAAAGGTAAATGTCAATATCATTGATAAGAAGTGTTCACCAAGATGTAACATATACATGGGAAATCTCACAAGAATATTCCATGTATAAAATATAATAGTATTATAACTACAACAAAACAATTTTTATCATAGCTTTTAGAATGAGACTCAAGATCTTGGATATGAGCACTGCTTAACAATTAGCTGTTTTTCACAAGTTCTCACAACTCTTATGATGGTCCCTTTCAATGTTTACTTGGGATACAGATTATTAGACAGGTAACTATAACATAGAAATGGGAGGGCCATGTTAAACTTACTTAGGGAGTTAATTCAAGGTACAGCATAGACATTGAGAAGGTGAAGTGGCCAGTAAGGGCATTATCCATACAGAAAGAATCTGCATAAATCATGGGTATGTCAATAGAAGATTGCCACCCTAGTGTGGGTACTGCACTAATCCAGAACAGGCATGCTCTTCACCCAGAACTTAATTCATGTACAGTTGGTAGAAATTTACATGGTTTATCATTCCCATGTAAATGCATGCTCTTCACCCAGAACTTAATTCATGTACAGTTGGTAGAAATTTACATGGTTTATCATTCCCATTGCCCAGATAGCTGAGGTTCCACTGTTCGGGGTTGGAATTATAGGGCCATGGTCCCAATATCCCACGTTGGTGGCTACGGCAATTCAACCGCAAGATATGTATACTTATGAGTGGATCCCAACCTGTATCAATAGAATGATGCGTTCTGAGCCAATGGAATCAAAAAAAGAAGGTAAGCAACACTCAAGTGGACAAACCTTCTCCTTAACCTGAAGAAGTCTGAAAGGCAACATCCCAGGTTAGGAATGATGTGACCTTGTATGCCATGCTCAACTCAACTGGATATCCAATCATCAAATTTGAACTGGTATTATGAGTATGCTCCCACATAGGCTGGTGCTTCTCCTACCAGCATCAGGGAAAAAACATCCAGGGACCCAGGTCGGAGGGCTCCCAACTTTGCTCTCTTTTCCAAGAGTGAAGGAAAAGCCTCTGTCCACCACACCCATGGCTGGAAACTGGGTATGGTGAAGACTCCCTAGCTCCACTAGTAGAATCTGGGGGGAAATGCACATTGGGCAGTCCTGAGGAACAGTGCTCTGGAAACAGTGCAATAGGTGAACCAAGTTTCCTAAATTTTTAAAAGCAAACCGACTGATTTATTCAATCCAGTGATTGGCAGGGACGGCATGATCCCCTTATGCTTCACTCATGATAGTCCATGAATGGTGGTCCAGCCTCTAGGTGGTCTTATGGAACACCTCATTTCTACAGAGCTTGTTGCAACCTAGATAAGGTATATTAAATTAGTGGTTGCTAGTGCAGAATTGGTTTGATAAAAGCACAACTGCCTGGGCAACACTCGCCACAGAGGATCTTTAAAGTAAAGAAGAAACAAGCATAGCAACAAAAATTCTAAACCCTCTGTATAATCTAGTGGAAATGGTTAAAATAGCTACAGAGAGCAGTCAAACACCCTAAGATGAAGATACTGCCAAAATATGCAAATAATGTGTGATAAAAGTTTTGTGGTAGGTCCAAATACCAGCCCGCACAATGTCCTCCAGCAGCCAATTCAACCGAGCTGCTAAGAACATAGAAATATGACGAATCTGATTAGATATGACTCACAGAAGATTCCTCGCCTTCAAAGAGAGCCCAGAATAAGCGATATGGAACAATTTCTTACCCACCTCATCAATGTAACCAGGGGAAAATCCTGGGAAACCAAATGATCCCAATATATAAAAAGTTATTGTTTAGCATCTCTAAAGGCATTAGTGCAGGTAACAAAATCTTCAAGACTCTTACTAGACATAACAAACAAATGAAATCTGTTTGGTCATAGAAGTGAGAAATAGTGATCACATGAATTGGTGAAAAGGATTTATTCCCTTCCATGGCTGACAGTGTCTTAGGGAAGAAGAACTGGTCTGAGGATGTAAGTAGAATGATAAAGCATCCTGTGGACAATCAGTGCATACCACTCCGACCAACAATGTCTGTAGGTTAGCAGAAATGAAAAATTAACCTTCAGGTAAAGGTGATACATGGCAGATGAGGCTAAGGTCACAAATGGGTGTTGGGAAATGGTATGTAATGTAGCCTTAATATACCAGTTTGGTAATTGAAATGGTTGTTTGGGACAAAGGACCCAAAATGACCTGAGGAAGCCAGATAGTACTGAGGACTCAAAGAACTTTTGTCTCAAGTATCGAATGGTAGTCAATAAGGCTGCCTTTTACAGGGACTGTGAAAGATGCAAAACCCTTGCTAAAGAGCCAGGTCAAAAAATGAGTTATGGCTGGCACTTCTGATCGAAGTGGGTTCAATCTCCTCGCAATATATCACTGCCGATATGTGTGCCATTTCCATTGATAAATGTCCATTGCAATTCTAGAAATTAAACCTTGACACCGTGCAAAGGACTATATAACCTCCATGCCTAAACTTTAAGCTTCTGAATAGCCAGGTGTACCATATTAGATCATGGGTGCTTCCACAGAAATGGCCAAAGAGGAAGTGGAAAAGGTAAGCACTCCCGAAGGTACCGCAAAACCAGAAACCAGGGAGGATATAGCTGCCAATCTGGTGCTATCAACTAACAGGATCCGATAATGGGTTGGAACAAATCAAAATACCTTGGGTAACATATGAATTGGAAGGAATTCTTAGAGTTATAATCCCATCCCGTTGTGATGGAATGCATCCATTGCCAAAGCCCGAAGGTGAGGTACTGGAGACCAAATTGCCAATAGTTGGGTGTTCCAATGAGTGGCCAACCCACCAATCATCAGTGTTTCAAAATCAGAGCTAGTACAATAGAAAACCTTACGATGCAGCATCTATTCTGTTGGGAGAATGTATATGGGTTGAGACAATTGATCTGCTACCACAGTCATCACCTGTGGAACATGTCAAGCTAATAAGGTGATATGATGGTTCTGAGAAAGGAGATCCGAGGTTTGAAAACAAGGAATCATTGATGGGAAATGCAAGACACCACCATGGAATTGTTGGAGTGAAGCCTGACAATTTCCCCTTAATAAGCCCAGAGTATAAGGCATCGTCTCTTGAAGAACAAGAAGGATTAAAACGTTGTATACGTAACCCTCATCATCCATGTATAGAGCCTGGAATTCCTGACTGTTCGGATATGCACTCCATCCCTGTAGTGAGATGGATTTTTGGACGAGGTAGTGGCAGAGGAACCATATCTTAGTATTGTCCTGACTTAACAATCCCTCAAGATCGAAGAATGGTCCTGAATAAGGAAACAGAGGAGTCCAGTGAATCGATGTTTATGATCCCTTTGTTGCACAAAGACCACTGAAAGGATCTCTTGTGTACTCCTTAAAAAAGCATGAAGGATTGGAGTGATGCCCACATTCCCAAAAGAGAAAGAACTATCCGTGCAGTTGGAGAAGGAGAGGTGAGTAAGAGTCTGGCTTCCTGTTCTGTAGCGTGGAGCCAAGTGGGAGTCAGCTGAGCTTGACTGAGATATGAAAAAAAAAAACCCAGACTGATGACATATTAAGTTGGAGCAAGAATAGATGTCTCAGCTCTGAGAATGAAGCCTGTCTTAATTGTTTCTGAAAGCAGAATCCAGGTGTGATGTTCTGACAATTGACGTAATGGTGCCAACAGTAACCAGTAATCAATGGAATGGTGTGTGCACAGGGCTAGAGAATGGAAGTGATGAGAAAAAAGCTTGTGTGATTCAGCAGAACCTATATGGTGCCAATGTTACTCAGAAAGTAAAAACCCTAAACTGCAGTACCTGACCCTTATGCACAAAAAACACCAATAGTGACAGGACGCCACAACTATGATAATGTGCAGATAGGACCCAACTACATCAAACTTGGACATTCACAATCCTACTAAAAAATTCCAACTCAGATTGAGAAACAAGTCACTTGTGAACTTTGGAGGACCTAGGCATTGATATAGACAAGAAAGATCGATGACTGGACCCCAATATCCTGTCTTCTTAGGCCCAACAACAAATTGGAATAAAAACCCTGGAAGAACTACCCCCAAACCAACCAAACTTTAATAACAAAATTCCAAGATCTCAGGATCTGCAGGAGACGGAAACCCTACAGGTTGGGTGGATAATGGTGGCGAGGAGGTGAACTGAATGACTAATCCTGATTCAAGGACCTGTAGTGCTCCTGGATCTACAGTTTAAGGTTACCACATGTCCAGAAATTTTTGGAGCTGAGGCCCAAATAAGACCCCGAATACAATTATCACCGATGCCACTGGCAGTATTTCAACTGAGCACATAACCCTTGGGTATGAACAGAATCTATTCCGGGTACTAATGTACCAAGGGGTTGATGCTGGGGGTCGGGACCCTGGAATATGGGTGGAACTATGACCCCCTGTAGGAGCTGATAAAAGTTGAGATCCCAATGACAGCAGGGATGAATGTTGAAGCCGACAATCAAACCAACGTGCATGGTGACAATGGTTCCAGCTCATCATCAATGAAGTTGGTGATCCTGAGAGTCTTCCAAGATTGAATGTTAGAGTAGTAAGTCCTTAGACTTACCACTGTCCCACCAGGGGACATTTATCTAAGCAGCTTAACTACAAACTCCATCTGAGAACCTCTAATTTCGAGTAGCAGATGTAATATTTGAGATTCAAAATATAATACCACCTGACAGTGGTAGGCTAAATCACATAGTTCTGATAAGGCATAGCTGATCTGTCATGTAAGTGAGTAGTAAATCTCCCTGCATGAACCACAATGTGTATGGATGGAGAGAGAAAACTAAATATTATCTCTCAGACCTTACAGCTATCAAGTAAGGTGCAAGGTCAAAAGCAACTGAGAAAAGACCCAAAACATCACACTCTCAATGGACCAAATGAAGAAAACAAATCAGAGGCAGCTTATCCCAAAGTGGCCTCCTTTTGTATTTCTTTTAAAGACTGTTCTGATTACCATTGTCTGGAACAACATTTTGTCAGGTAAGTTTGTTTTGTTAGAGCAAAGCAACATTGGGCTATCTGCTGTGTCTACTATAGGAAATTGAATACTGGACTTCAGTGTTGTAACTCTGTAAACTTACCACTATCCCACAGGGGACTGAGAAGCCAACAGAATAAAAGAAGGCACAGAAAAAAGTGAATCTAAATTCTCTCCAGAATGTCTAGGATTGCCCTCAATTGTAGCCTCAGAGCCCCTCTGGAGGAACTCCACCAAACTGAATATGTGTCTCTATCTTCCCTACTAATAAGATCACTGATAGTCACAACTGAGAGTGACCCCTCACCCCCACCCTGATTGTTGTGTGATGCTAGATATCAGAGTGAAATAGGAGAGACCTGATTTGCCTCTGTGTTGGAAATAATAATCCAGGAATTCATACCTCATATCAGCACACCAGAAAGAAAACAATTTACATAAATCAACTAGGTAAAAATCATAGCACTGCTTAGATGGGCAAAAGAAGAAACCCTGGCAGTTGAGCAATAGCTGTAGCATGAGAGGAGGAAAGTATGTTTTGGAAATAAAATCTACAATGTTTGATTTACAACCACAAAGTGCTGAAATGACACAATTTTCTTTACGGGATGGCTGCAACACTAAGAAAAAATTAAGTATGGAGATATTCTCCTTCATATCTATAGTGCTACTGCATAACTATTAAATGGGCAAGTATCAATCACAAAAAATATGGAATGCAAATATATTTTACAACTTTAGGAATTATTTCATTAGACTTCATTTCTTGTTTTTAAGCTATATAATGGAAAACTAATACCTCTACAAGGTTCTGTGGGAGAACTCCTATCAAATCCTATTTTGCAAACACAACTGTAACTACCAACTTCATTCTGGCAATTCTCCTGTTCGTCACAAGGTGACTGCTCTTTGCATTCATCAATATCTATTGAAAAATAAAAAGTTTCAATTGTTTTTATTGAAATAGTAATAAAGGATAAATTGTTAAAATAATAATAATAGTAATGATAATAAAAGATTAAACTCTCTGAAATAAGGTTATAAAAGAAGCAGCAATTTTAAAAGCTTAACTAACCTGGTTGCTTTTTCAAAATCATCTTAAGAATGAGTAAGTTCTTTTTTATACAGCGACTTTGTTCATCAGTGACACTTGTTTAGATCTTAAAGACATTTGAATGGATGAATAACATTGGACTCACCTAGGGAATGCTCCAATACACTTGATTTATTCAGCATTATTAAACTTGTACATTCTTGCACTCGCTTGCAACAAGGACAAATAAACTGGTAAACTACATTTGATATTTTCAATAAAGAAATGCAATCTTTATATGTGAAAAATACTGCAATCGAGATCAGTTGTACATACACTCTATGAAGTAGGGTAGATATTTGTTCTTTAACATACAAAGAATAGTTACTGATATCTTGCAAGGTTATCTAGGTTGAAAATGTAGGAACTTCATCTGTTGATAGTTTACTAAAGTTTCATTTCTTCAAACAGTCACAAATTATTCAATCAACCAAAATAATTGGAAAAAACAATTTTGCATAACTATTTCTTGGTGTTATAAATTTCGGCTTAAAGAATTTGACAAGTGCTTGAGATTTTATATGCATAATGAACTAAGATCTTAACCAAATGTTCTTTAGATACAGTAGAAATATAACTTGTAAAATTAAAATAAAGAATAATAAATATTTGTTATGGTTAACTTCACATTCAAAGATACCATCACAATTATGAACTATTGTATTTATGGTCTTGCTGATGTTCCACATTAAGTTTAGTACTTTTTAAGCTTACCTCTAAATACTCAAAAAATTGAGGAATATATTCTAGGTAAAATAGTAAAAGTGGTCTCTACATACTACTAATAATACAAGATGGAGCATAAGTAACTAAACAGCTGTTTCACTCAGAACACAGTTTAATTTCTAGTATCTTACTCTGAAACAAATAATTATATTAGTTTCAATTATATTCATAATGTTTTCTTTAGTATCAACCATATAAAATCAACTGTTGGTACAGTATAGTAACTGTTACCCAACCCGGTATGATGGTTTAAAAGACTATGGATAGTCCTCCATTGTTTTCCGGTCTTTTAAACCAGTATATTATTACAGCTATGTGCTATTTTCAAGGACTAAGATCTGATTCCTCAGTTTTCTGTATTTGAATAGTAAGCATAAGAGTAGTAAATTTACTGTTGAACATTAGCAGGATCATAAACACAGTGGTTCATAACTTTGATGGCAACTTTCAGTGTGAATTTTACTATATAAAATTTTATCTGCCTATATTTTAACTTACAAGTTAAATACCAACTGTATTTAATGAAAATATGCATATATAAACTCTCAAACACTTATAAATTTCAGCATAAAGAATATAACAACATCCAAGAGATGTTTATGCAAAATAGTTTCCAGTTATTTAGTTGATTTAATAATTTGTAGTTATTTGAAGAAACAAAATTTTAGTAAATTATTAACATGTGGAGTCCCTAGGTGTTCAACCTTTGTAGCCTCGTCATATGTCAGTATATATTCTTTGTATTATAAAAAAATGGCATTAAGGAGTGTGTCCACATGCACAACCAAGATGCATTTGTAAACTAGGATATTGTCTGCAGTATTGCTTCAAATATAAAGATCACATTTCTTCACTGAACACATCAAATGTAGTTTATCAATTTACTTATCCTTGTTACAAGCAAAGTTATATCAGTTCTACTACAAAAAACTACTTATTTGAGTGAAACAACATGCACGTTTAATAATGCTGAATAAATTAAATGTATTGAAACATTCCCTAGATAAGTGTGATGTTATTTATCCATTAAAATCATTTTAGGATCTTAACAAGGATCAACAATAAACAAAAATCCCTGTATAAAACAAGGCTTACTCATAAGCTAAACTGAAAACTTTGATTAACCAGGTTAGTTTAGCATATAAATTGTAACAACTTTAAGGAATCTCTTTGTCTATTTTTTACTACAGTGCATCATAAGAGAATATATCATAAAGTTCAAAAATACAATTAACATTTTTCATGTTTTACAATAGTTAAGTCATTATTTAATTTAATAATTTTTGAAAAGCATTTGTTTACATGCAATCCAGAATACTGTATTAAAATTAAAATGACTAGGAAAAAGTAATGAAAGTTAAAAGATATATTTCTGTGGTAAAATGTCAAGTAACATTTATGTTTGATTAATTTATTATTAATAACTTAAAAACTATTTAAATACCCTTTAAAAAGCACCTCCAATTTAACCCAAATGCTAGTCATACAGGCTGGTGACAGATAATAAAAAGTTTAAATATTAATTATAAAAACTAAATAAGTACTTAATTCATAAACTCAGACTAAACTTTAACCTAAAAATAATAACAAAGAGACCAACACTCTCAGAACGACCATAAATTACACAGTAACTTTTAATATTTTGTCCAACAACACCTTTTATATATTTTTGGCAGTCAACTACAGATTTGATTTAATCAAAATTAGAGCTTTGTTTGTTTGTTTTATATTAAAGCCACATTGGGCTACCTGCTATGTCCACCACAAAGAATCGAGTCCCAGATTTTATTGTTGTAAGTCAGTAAACTTTCCACTGTCCCAGTGGGGGGTCAATAATTGAAACACCAAATGAAAACAAAAAAATATAAAGTTTTCTAAGTGCCAAACAAGACTAAAAAAAAAGTCATGAAGCTCAGAAATATTCTTCGCAATGAAAAAATACTGTGATGACACAGAAACATATCTATTGAAACACTGTCTGAAAGTAAAAAAAAAAACAACAAAGCTGTATTTTAATCTAGATACTTTATATATAAATATCTTTCAAATATCAACAAATCAGTACAAACAAGACACTATGAAAACATAAAAAGCATTTTTGGTATATATATTTAACCTACAGATTTAAACAAAAAATACCAAATCAGTTTTATTTTCAGTCACTTTACAGATCGATGAAAGTATTCAGAAGGGCTAACACAAAACACAGAGCACCAGAAGAAAAATATTTTTCTTCAAAAAGATCTTTGTTTTCTAGTGAAAATAATCAAGAAACTTCACAAATAGAAGTGAATGGCTTGCATCACATTGGTGAGGAACATGCTCTGCACTTTGGTGATAGTCAAATCCCACTATTCAATCATAAAAGAGCAGCCCAAGAGTTTGTAATGGGTGCTGTTGAAATTGCTGTCCCCAGTTCAATATTTGGGATGACTATGCACAGGTAGCATTTGTCTAGCTCTGCATAAAAATTTTAAATTACCAAAAATTAGAAGATATTGTTTTCTTCTAATTACAATTACCAAATAAGTTTTTTATACAGGAAATTTTCAGTTTCAATTATTTTTGCTAAAACGTTTCTGATGATGAAAAGTTTATGAAGATATCATGTCTTGCATGTTCTTTCAGGTATGCAACAACAAACATGGTCAGTGCATAATCATGGTTCAACAGAAGCAAATACAAGCCACCTTTTGCCCCAGATGTGTACAACCTGCACAACAAGGATATTAAGGCAAGTTAGGGTTGACTGTATCCTATTCACAATGATACTAATAAAACAACAAAAATATCAGAATCTTAAAAATTGCTGAATCTATTAAAGAGAGGGATATTTTTATATTAAATTATGAACAGGATAAAACAATAGTAACTTTAGCTGCCAAAAGTTCATAAGAATGTTGTCTTGTTCATACTGTATGAGCATTGGAGTTATTTTTTTTCAGTGCTTTTGAACCTACCAATGCAAGTTCTATACTGATGGCTGAAATGAAAACCAGATGAACACTCAATGTCTTCAATCTTCTCTTCAGTTACAACAGTAGTAGAGGTTGATGTTGTTATTCTTGGTTGTGATGTTGTGGTTATTTTTTCACAACGGTAACCCATCCATGTGTTCACACATGTCTGATTTAAAGAGCATTTGTGACTTCCTTCCAAACACTCATTGATATCTTTGTTTTACACAGGTTAGCAAAGCAGATCGAAGGAAAGAATATAAGAGAAGAAAAAAAAACATATATGAGAATTGAATTCTGGGTGATATTAGCACTAAAAAAACAAAAAACAAAAACATTATTTATATCAATCTACTTTTTTTAATTTCTTGAAACAAAAACAAAAATAGGAATTACAGCCCACTGTTAGAAACATATAGAATTACTGCTATTTTCAAGTTGAAGAAAATATTTACAGATAAATTCATTTTTTCATTAATGCAATATTCACTAATGCACATTTGCACCTTCCTAAAAGTACAGAACTTATATTAAAATTATTCTTAGAATTTTTGACAAAAGGTTAAGGTTTACAAAACCAAATAATAAAATCAAAAAATTTTAGTACAAAATATAAAGTCATATATTATTTTTGTCTAACCCAGTAAATATTAGGGTTAGAGATTACAGTTTTTTATAACATTATTAATATTGTTTTCAACATTTAGTTGTATTTTATTACAAATAATATCATTTATGTAATGAAAGTTACCAGCTTGCAAACGTAGCATTCACTGGCTCATTTAATATTTTCAGTTTTTATTAATAACTATAAAAAATAGATTTAATATTAAATGTTAAAAAAGCTAACATTCTTAAACCTACCAATGCAGGACTGATAACGTATGTCATAGCGTAAACCAGCTTCACATCTAGGGTCCACAGTGCTTACAGTAGGTGGGACAAATGTTGTTAAATTCGGTGAAAGAAATGTGAAAATATTCTCACAACGGTAGCTTCCCACAATGTTAACACACCTTTGGTTGGATAAACAACTATGACTGTCCTCTAGGCATTCATTTATTTCTTTGTTTTGACATTGAAAGGGAAAGGAAACAAGATATAAATATGCTTACATAAAATACATTAACACAAATTTTGTTTCATCAATTTAATTACCAGGTTATCCATAATTTTAACAAAAGTTGTGTATTCTTCTTACATAAACAAACATACAATGATAAAATACAAAAAAAATTACTTAAACAAAAAATAGTTCCAAACAAAATATGACTTTTAAAATTTTGTATATTATATTATTTGTTATATATCAAACAAATCTTACAAATAATTTCAGAAAATTAGACATGGAAACCCAAAAGTGAATATGTATAAGAAACAAAGATTTTTGTACAATATTATGTTTTTCATTTATATAAAAAATTTAAAAACTACAGTTTTCTTGATACAAGAATATGACATAACACATTTTCTACACAAACATGGAAATAAAATACTGTATTGCTCCTAATTAATGCCCCTTTCTAATTATTGCTCCCCCCTGGTTTTTTTAATAAAGCTTACCTTGTGTGACAGCAATAGTAATCCAACATATAATCGACTTTTATTATCATAATTTTTGATTTGAAAAAAAGAAGAAAAAACACACATACACTTATTAGCAAGGAAATCAACAAATCATGTGTGAAAAATAGAATCTGGAACTGCACAAATACTATAAGTAGCACACACCTCTTGCAATATGGTAGGTTAAGTTTTACTATTATCTCAATACAAACTTCACTGTAAAAACTTCTACAATTCTATCTTAGACAAACAGTATTGTAAGCTATGTTTTCACTGTCTTAATTTAGATGTTTGCTAGAAGGCACATGATGTTAAAATCAAGTAAGCTTATAAAAGTGTTCTGGACTACCTAAAACATTCATGGTGACATCAAGAATTTAGTTACTTTGATAAATGTCTAGACATTGGTACATTAGCTATAAATACAAGTTAGCAGTTAGTTATTTAAGCGAGTAATAAGTGAGTGATTCAAATCAGTGTTAGTAGTAAGATTTATCATGTCTATTTTACTATTCAGTTACTCAGTGAGTTATGTGCTTGTTTATTGATCAAAGCTAAGAAGCCAAGTTAGACATATGTCTCTCAGTTTGTATTGAAACACTGCATTTGAAGTTAGGCCAAAATTTAATTGCAGAGTTTATTTTAAAAAGTTCAGTAATAAAATTAGATGTATAACTTACAAATGAATATGGTTGTAGAAATGTTACAGAAAATAAGAAAGAGGTAAACTAGTTTGTTATTGTTACATGATTCTGAATCTCTCATTAGTTTTACTAAATTATCCAAAACAACTTGCTCAACAATAGAGTATGTTGCAACAATAACCTTCTTTTAAATTTCCCAACAAACATTTTTTTTGTCCTGCAGATGTAAATAAATATGCTGTATTTAAAGTAGCTGCCCTTTTTCTGTTCTTTAAGAGCTATGATTTTTTATTTTTTTTACAGTGAAGAGCTGTCATTCTAAAAAATGATGTAAGGAAGATGTTCAACAATCACACATATAAACACAACTTCTGTGGGTCAAAACATTGTGTCTGTTACATGTACACAAAATGATCTACATATTGTAGTCAACAAATTGTTATCTTTCAAATGCTTTACATTTGGTATCTTTCAATTGTTAAAGAATTACATATTTTAATTTTCCTATATACATTCTGTGTAATTCAGATGATGATTATAACAAGTTTTATAAAAAAAAACAAGTTAAAACTCAATAAACAACAATGGTATTTCAGCCAATTAGCTATCACCCACGTCAACTGTGTCCTTCCTTCTACACAAGAAGGGGTGACTACATCCGTCAAATATAACACATGCCATAACTAATACTTTCTATATCAATAGGCTAAACATTACATTTATAGAAAAGGTAAAAGACTGTGCCAGGATTTGTCAGTTCTCAGTGCTGATTAGAATAATGTTACATGGTATCTGAAATGACCAAAAACTCTACAAAACAATGTTTTTAATTTATCTGACCTTTCAGCTTCAATCATTCTTGTGAGACTGTACCAAATAAACTGATTTTAAATACCTACCTTGGCATTCTCCTGTGAAATGGTCAAGCCTAAAGCCAGACTTACACTGACGAAGTGGAGGAATGACCTTAGATTGACACTGGTAAGAACCAACAATGTTTACACAATAGTCTTTCTCCTTAATACACTCATCAGTCCCTTCTTGACACTCATCAATATCTAAAGAAAATCAGCAAACATAAAAACACATGATTTATTAATACACAACAGCTCATTTGTTGTAAGTTTCATAAACAAAATGAAACTTTGTGTAATTTTTTAAAACAAGTAATTTAAAAATAATCAGTATTTTACAACATGTTTTGGAAACTCCACATAAATTGTCATATAAGATTACTAATTCAATGTAATTACAATAAATTTAATTAATGTTATGAAAATAATCAACTAATCGAAGTTAGTGTTTCTAATTATTCCAACTATCCAAACAATTGTAATATTGCCATTGTGATTTCTCATTACTATAAGTATTATTATTATTATTTATTTTCGATTAATTTAAGGTTGTTCAGCTTAATCATAAAACTAATCGAAATTAATGTTTCTGATTATTACTATCTTTGATTATTCCAACTATCTAATTAATCAAAATATTAGTTATTACAACTTCTGTTGGCAGGACAACATGTGACAGTATGTATGTGGTCTGCTTGTATGCAACTCATAAATGTGAAGATGTTGCCATTGGTTACATAATTAGCTACAATGATGCCTGTTCCTATTACTTAATATATTATTTATTTATTACAAGGAAAACAAAAGTTTGGCCATCACCATGTGCTGCTTACAAACGGGTTAGAACAGTAAATATGACGTTATTTGGTTTATTGATTTCTCATAACACACAATTTTCTCAGTTTCTTCCAGCCTGCACTGTTAAATGTAAATTTATTAATAATTTTAATGCATTTTTCTAAACTTCCATCTGTATCGACGACTTCTCACTTAAAAGCTTATGATGTTTTTATACTTATAAAGTTATTAATTATTTTTAGGTTTTTGACATTGATGATGGAATTATAAAAAATTTCTGAAATGTCTGTAATCAAATACTTTTTTCAAATGTTACCATGAATTTAGAATTCCTTAAAATACTTCAATTTCCATCTTATGATTCATTTTATTCTCTGATCTACTACCTTCACAAGTTTTCTTACCAAACAGTAAATGTTAAGCTGTCTTTGTTTTTCTAGAGTCAGCATGAACTTTACTGAATTATACAGTACCTATCACACACACACTGTGACAAAAATCTCTGTTTTATCACATGAAATCTAAGGACAATTATTTTAAAAATAATTAGATTATTTTGTTATGGTAGAGTAGTCTTGTGATAACTTGTTTCTAGAAACCCACAGAGTGGTATTAATCATATTTTCAGTTTTTTGTAGGTTTGGTACTACACTGTGTATATGACACGTTTTCAAGTGGAACAGTTGAGGATTAAAAAAGTAACTTAATCCTAAATTGTTATACTTGAAGATGTCTTTAAAAAACACAAAATATGCTGAAAATAAAACGATTAGTCAGATCAGTATAAATAATTAGAGTTAAATGTAATTGATTAATGAGCCTGATGATTATTTAATTAGTAAATTCCAATAATTGCCCAGCTTTTGACTGCAGTAGTCACCGCTTCCAGCTATGAGTTGTAAAAAACACTGCAGAAACTAGAACCTGAACCTTTCAAAATGACATCAGGTTGATCAGACTAAGTGATGATATTGGCTTACAATATTCTTGGTTGAGATCAATTTACATCTAATAACAAGTTTATTTCAATAAATTTTAAGTTCTTTTATTTATTCACAATGTTTGAAAATAATAAATTTAATAATAATATACAATAAATAAGGATCTGAGTCACTGAACTGTTACATAATGTCACCTACCAAACTCACTAAATCTAACTAATCTTATCTGATGTCTTATTGCTGAATAAAATTTTATGGTTTTCAAAAAATATAATTTAACATGAAAACATTTTCAAGAACAAAAGGATCATCTAAAACAAACTATAAAAAAATTCCCAGATGTGGTTTATTCATAAGTTTTCTAAACTTTCAAATAAATTATTGTGTTCTCTACAGAAGCTACATCTAATCTTTTTCATGAAACCATATATTACCTCTCAACCACTTTTGAAATAACGTAACTCTCAGTGAGTGATTTTGATCTTTTTTGAATATATATGTATGTAAAAATATACTATACGTACTAAAGTGGATGGAGAAAAGTTAACAAAAGATGTAATTATTTTTCAGGTACATAAAACATCAAGCATTTAGTTATTTCATTACAATCAGTGGACTACCAGATCCAATAGATTTAATTCTCTAGTGCTAGAAACTCAGCTTGATTGGAATGCTTAAAAAGTATTCCATGAGTGCAACTGTATGTGTGAATTATTTCCAGTTCCTTTCAAGGCCACATTTCAATCTGTTCACAAGAGGGTTTTTATAATTGTTATTAAGGTACCCATTTGTATAATACAGATTAACATATGATTTTTTAAAAATTTGAAGGTGATGCATACACGCACATTTGCAAACATTTACAACTGTGATATTCTAAGACACTAAACCTCAATCTGGAGATTTGTTAAGATTTTATTAGCAGCATTTTAATCAAGTTTTACTCAACCAGGAGTGAAAGAAATTGACATACAATGTTCAGTGAACAAAGACAATCTATTAGCAATTCAACAACAACATGAGTTTGAAGGTGAATTTATCAAAACAACTTTTCCTAAACCTACACTAGAAATAAAGATATCTAAAATAAATGAATTAAGACAAGTCCAAGATATATACAAAATTAGCTTCAGACAAGGTTATATTAAACCTTAACCTTCACCAGTACTTCTCAGACTGCTACATCAGAGAATCACCATATTAAACGTTAAACTCCACTAGTAGCTCTCAGACTGCTACACCATCCTCTCAGAGAACCTCCATCACAAAGAAAGGTTAGGTAGATTTCTAACTTCTCTATCATCACATATAGCCAACATACTAAACATTCTTGCTAAATTCTGCATAACAAATGATTCAGCAAGCAAGTTAGGGGCAATGATAGACAAGTCATGAGATTTAACTTAGTATCATTCCTGGGAAAAAAGATTAACAAGTTCAAGGCTGAGTTTTACCTATTCATCTAGAACTTGAAACTAATAACAAAAACATATATCAAAATGTGGTAGAAATTGATTAATATTCATATCTATTTTATAGAAAAGGGTTTAGTTTCTGATATTCACATTGCTTTAAGTATTTTATTTTTACACAACCATAAGATAGGAATAACAAACAAGTCAAAAACATTACATATAAATATTAACATACGAGTTCTTTATTATGGCTAAAACACCTTACTACAGATTAAAATGAATAGGTATGTCATATTGTCATAACATATACATACACAGAACAAATACTTTCAAAGGCTAATGTTTAGCAAAAAAAAAAAAAACTTGTTTAAATCAATTATATTGATAATTCAGCATATAAGAAAAGGAAAACCTTACCTACACACTGGTTGGTAATTTCATTTCTTTTAAAACCATGTGGACACTTTGTTACTTTTGGGGCACAACGGAAACCACCCACAAAGTTTACACATCTCTCTGTTTGGAGGTTACAGTCATCAATCTTTTCAACACACTCATTAATATCTAAAAACAGAGAAAAATAACTTTTTCAATCTGATCAGTACAATCAATTCTACCCATTTTCTAGCTTTGAAACACTTTCATATACATATTTTCACAGAAGTTTAGCTCTATTTTTAATTACATACTTAGGGATTTTACACACAGATGTGTTTTATTATAACATTTGCTAATAATTTAATCAAAAAAGTACACAGCTTTAATATAATAGCACCAGGTTATATGAAATGATCAGTATTTTTTAACTCTGCATTTAAATGTTCTTAGAAATGTTATGGAATATATTATCCAGCACTTCACGAGTCACTACTTAGTATTTCAAACACACAATGCATGTGTCAGATTTTCTTCAAGTCATTGACAAGTAGACTACTTAAAATTTATACATGGAAATGCAAATTTCAAAAATTCAAGTCCAAATGTGACAGAACACAATTAATAAAAGGTTCAAATGTACAATACTAAAGTTTTTCCTGCTTCTTATATACTGAAGCCAAACTTTTCTTGATAAGAAAGTTATTTAATTGGGTAATATTCCCTTCTATGCTGGTTCTATTCATTTTTAATATTAATAACTTAATTTTATGGGAGGTTGCATATAATGTAATAAATGTACTTTTTAAGAAATATTTGAGGTAACATGTTGAAATACATCAAGAACTAGCTTTAAAAATTAAAAGATCTTAACACCTGTGCAGTTCTGAAATAGTTGGCTGTACTTATAGCCAGGTGGACAGTCATATTCAGGTGGTGATGAAGCCTTACACCGATAGCTGCCAGGTGTGTTGATGCACTGCAGTCCTTGACTGGAACAAAAGTCAGTACCCTCTGCACATTCATCGATATCTGGGAGAAACAAATATTTATATATGTATTATTTTCTTGTAATCAAAAGGTTTGATTATGCAACCCAATCAATCTGCAAATAAAAAATTTCAATTTTAATACCAATTTGAAATTGATCAAGATATGATTTTATAAATCACAAAATTTATCAAATACTCAATAAAAATCAATTCAAAGTTTTGATTTATTAAGTAGACTCAACTTCGTGTAACATTTATGACCTCAAACTAAACTTCTGAATAGAAAGTAACATTTATAACAACAATAAAAAAAAGAATATAGAGAGAGGGATTTCAGCAATGTATTTTCTTGTACATTGGTTACGAAACTGGACAGATAATCTTATAAAGATGTTAGATGGCTTATATATTGAAAATTAGATGAGATTTTTCCTCATGCCAGTTTCAAAATTCGATTAGGAGATTGTCCAAACCTTTTCCCCAAAAACAATATAATCCTTACTTTAAGTTTTATACAACTAACTGTCAACTGTTTTATAATTTTTCAGCACTAAAGTTCCATTACTAATTCATTCTTTCTGTCAAAAAGACTGATGAATTAAGCACATTTATTGACGTTTAATTACATCTTATAAGATAATGTTTTAGTTCCTGTGCTGCCATTGGAACTAATTACTCCATCATCAACTATGTTCAATCTCATATCCATGAGTACACACTCTTCCCACAAAACATAATTTCCATTGTAATAAGTCTCCGCAAAGTGCAATGACGTTAATCTTAGACATTACATTTCGACAAACTTTTCACAGACCCTCCATTGTACATGGACTTGACTTCCAGTACCAAGCATAACAACATCAAAAGTTCCAAAGTCCACTGAGGTGCATATCAGGTGATAGGTATGTACGGAAATGAGGTTGCTGTAATTCCAGTTTATTCATCCATATTTCTCATGAATATAGGTGTTAAAGGTTGGCTGAAAGTTTGTGAAATGTTATCAATTTCAAATCTTTCTTTATAATACTGTTAATAGTAGTACCTCAAGTGATATGTCTACCTTTATTGCAGTGGCCCTTTGGAGTTGGAGGGTTTTCTGTTGTAATGATAGCCTTTAGCTACAGACAAGAAGAGGTCAATGTTCTTAACTCAATGGGGAGTAGTTTTGAATTCAACAGCTTTTCTATGCTTTGCTGAGTGAGTTTTTCCACTAACATGGAGAATACTGAAAGCTCTTTTTCAAATGTTGTGGTTTTTGGCTCTACATTATTTAATAATCTCATTACACAAATATCCTTTCTCAAAAGTAGCTAAAAGTTTACAGTGGCATTGCAAAGTCAAGAAGTATGACTAAAACTTGCAGTGAACTAAACTTATAAGCACAAAAGATGTTGCACTTGAAGCCACCACAGCTCACAGCTGCAGCAACCCACCACTGCACCACCATAAGCAAATTGTTCTTATAAAACATAATTAGCCCTCCACACCTTATTCTTATCACTAAGTGTAATCAAATTTACAAAGTTTCAATTTGAAAATAACAGTCAATCAGATTTGTACTCAAAAGTAAAATTAAAATCATTTGAAATGTGTAAAATTTTACATCCATTATATTATCCTAATAAGCATACATATATAATTTTGAAGAAAAAAATTTAAACATACTTAAAGGTTTAATTTCAATGCTTTTTGGATCTTTCATCAGCATCTCTGAGAGATTGTGAATAATTTTCTTGGTATCTCATAATTTAACTTATTTCCTAAATTGTGGCAAAAAAAAAAGAAGAAAAAGTGAGCCATCACTATAACTAGGATACATTTCTTGAAATCTTGTGAGAATCACCCAATCTCAAACATAAAGTTTATGTGTAAGTTTTCCAATATCTGTAAATCCAGCCTCAAAAATCTGTGTGTTTAGACTTCCTGAAATCATATTATGTATAATATAAGAGTTTTAAATACACAGTGAACCAATGATCCAGGTAGCAGTTATTTAGTAACTCATTTTAAACTCTCTCGTGTTAATAAATAGTACTAAAATACAGCTGTTCATAAGGTTTTCTTGGCTTTATAAATTTCATACAGCAGCAACTCTTTCATTAGTGATACAAGCATCTACAAATAAAAGCAACTGCTAAGTAATCACTGTTACTGTGTGGCTTTTACACTAGAGTATTACTTGCCTTTACACACTCCTTCTAGACTTGGTAAGAACCCTTCATCACACTGTACAATACAGCGGTAACTTCCTTCAGTATTTAAACATTCATGTAAGCCAGGTGTACAAATGTGATCCCCAGTGTTACATTCATTTATATCTGTAACATACAGAACAGTTATATAGTTTTCTTAATAGATCTAAAGTTATGCCTAGTTTTGTTAAATTTATTCATGTTCATACCATAAGAAAAATAAATCACTGAAGTTGTATTTATGAAGGCTTACATTTTTTGCTGGTTTCTATTTAATATTTACCTATGTCTGTAGCAAAAATAGCCAAAGCCACTAAGTTCATGCTTGTATTTATGCTGCATGTGTTTTATATCTTTGAATATGAACAATAAACACTGCACTGTACAAATTATATAGTGAATATGTGGTTTGTCTTTCTGCAAAAAAAGCAATGAAATCAATCCACTGTATGACATGCAGTTCTGTTTTACATGCTTTAGTTAGCCATAAGTAATCAGTTAAAAAATACTAAAAGTGACATTACAATATTTGCTCTCATTGCAACATATGCCTCCACTTCACTCCATCCTGTTATTTCTATATCTTTGATATGCATCTGTTTCACTTCAACCACCTTTTCTTCTACAACATAGAACTGCTAATCTTCTACATCATATTAGGGGTATATTTCTGTTTATCTATGGTGTGCCACTATTTATCAAATTTAAAACATTTTTTTTATATTTTTAGTAACAAAATATGTACATTCAATTATCCTGATCATTCATGATAGTGTTCTTTTATGTACAATGTGTTCGTGGAACTTTAAAGAGATATTGAACTTTTAATCACTAAGGACAGGATTTAATTAAGCATTGAGATTTGGTAAATGTAAAATTTTATTTAAAATGACCAACCGCTTTGAATTTTCATTCCATAAATAAATAAAAAATAATTACATACAGTCAACAAATGTTTACAAAATAATCACATACAATCAACAAATGTTTAAAATAACTTTCATTTTTTCCACAGAACTCTGCTTCTTAACTTGTACCACAGATTTGATTCTCACAAAACATTTAAACATTTATGATACCATAACTTTCTCTAAAATGTTTTATCTATTTATTTTTATTTTGCATTTAAACATATTTCAAAAGTATAGTGCTGATAATGGAAAAGAAAAAACAAATAAAGAGCAACTCACCAACACATTCTTGTTTATCATCATCATAAACAAAACCTGTCTCGCAAGATGGTACTGGGACTTTTGGAGCACAGTGATAACTCCCATGATCATTGACGCACTCCTGTGTTGTGAAGTCACAAGAATGGAGGTTTTCTTCACATTCATCTACATCTGTTAAAGAAATAAAAAATTACACTTTCCATAACATGGATTTCACCACAATAAACAAGTATACATAGATGGCAGAATATATAAACTTATGATTTAATCAGTTTCTACATTATCTCATTAAGTCAGCATATAAACAAAACACAACATATTTAACAACTATGCATGATAGACTGGCTAAGCAGGAACTAAATATGTCAACAAATCTACTTTCTAAATACATATAGTAGTGTATTCAAAATTTCATGTCACATATCACACAATAAAGAAATAAATAAAGAGCAACATAAATCAGCACTGTATGTTAAGGATTTCCTGAGATAGCACAAGCACAAAACCATGTTTGGCGTACTACTTCTACACTAATCTGATTACAACGAGAACATGATACCTCCTTGGACAACCTTAAGTCCACATAAATAAACGTAGTCCCAACATTTGGGTACTTAGAATATTATTTGAACAATGCTGCAGAGCTACACTCAGTAGCAAACAAGAAAAATAAAACTAATCACCTCTACAACTACTCAACTTAAAAGTCTTAGAATGTCACTGAAAAATGCATATTTTGATTACAATTCTTAATACACTATACATTTTAAAAACTGAAAGCTTATCACATTTGGTTGATACTTTAGTATTTAAGTTTGTATATTCACTTGCATTGAAAATCAAAACAATACCTCTGTAATGATAACCAAGAGCAGAAATCAGTTTGGACACACAAAATAGTTGCTTTAAACTTTGTCCAAGAAGGTATCATGTTCTTGTTGTACTCAAATATGTTTAGTAGTAGTAGTACACTAAAACTGGTTACATGCTTGTGCTATCTCAGGGAAGCCTTAACATACAGTGCTGATTTATGTTGTTATTTATTTAAAAAATGACAATCTGTCAAACATACACAATGAATAAAAACTGCATTAAACTGTTATTTGATTTTCCATTCCTAAAATGTAATATTGTCTTCTTAGCAATATTTAGTCCAAAATTAGAAGTCCTCAATAGGAAAAGTTGATGTTCCACTGACTGGGAATTGGAATAGTATAAATATTATTCATCAATTGACAGATGCATGCTTAGTTAAGAGCCAAAAACATTCAATAAGGATTTCCAGTACTAATAATCTTAGTTTGATGATTATGCAACACATTACAAATTCTATTCAGGGCTGTTTGATTTTTTAATATATATACCAAAAGTAATTCTTAATAAGAAAATCATAAACTTGTCAATAACATTTTACTTCCTACAGCCAGTACATTGAAGATATGGCTTTTAAACTAGTCAGTAAAGAGATTTTGAACTTGAAATGAAATAAATGATTACCAAATGTTGTTTCACACTGATATTTTTTTTCTGGCTGCATGTAAATACTGGAATTATCACTAGGGCACTTTCAAAAGCTGCATACAAGTTTCCAAGTACATAATTCTTCCAAAATAATAAATTCAATTGCTTGCTGCAGTTCTATTATTGTATTTATCTGGTTGTTTGTGGTCACAGGTTATATTTGTAAGTTAATTAGTTCTTCGGTATATGCAGTAAAAATTAACTCAAAAATTTACTTAAGTTATAAAATTTGTACTATTATTGAAAAACAGTCACTTCAAATCTTATCATGAAGCCTGCTAAGTTCTTCATTTTTTTACCTTACATTACTGTTAAAAAGTCAGTACCATACTGTCTGAATAATTATTAATTTACCACAACTATCAATCCATCAGTGAGCCATGCAATTCATCATTTTACATTTTTCATCTGGTTACAAAATTATAAAAAATAAATTTAATTATAAGTCAATTAAAAGAACCATTTTTTTTATAAACAAGTTTAGACAGTCTGTTTGGGTCAATTGATGCCATATTTATAGACCTGCTTAACTTCACAGAAGGAATTGCATTTATTTTCTTACAAAAAGACTGCTTACCATTTTAAAATTACAGTCAATACTCATTTGAACATAAAGTTACATGCACATGCTTATTTGTACTTGAACAGAAAATATGAATTCATTTATTAGCTTATTTCACATACAGACTAGTTGCACCATTGAATAGATACCTGATTAGGTCTTTCATGGAAAGAAAATATCATTAAAAAAAAAAAGATTAATGACAAACCCAAACAGCTATCTATTCCTCCAGGTACAGCAGGCACAGGTTTAAAACCTGGTGGACACACAGAAGGGGTAACTGACTGGCAATAGAAGCTTCCAACAGTGTTAATGCAGGTTTCCCTGGACTCACATGTGTGAATTCCAAGGGTACACTCATCAATATCTGAAAAATGTAAAATAATTAGTGACTAGAGAATGAAATATTACACATTATATATTAAAACAGAAAGTTATATCAACATGTACATTCAACATTTCACTTATTACCAAATACCTCACAAGGCTTTGCTACAAAAATCTGGCACCCACACTTATTAACATATATAGTTGATTTGGATAACAAATCAGGTATCAGATGATCAGTCATGTGACCTGATGTGCAAGAGATTAGTTATTCAACCTATGCTATGTTTATTAGCCTTATACAATCTTGTCCCAGTTGTCACTTTGAAGTGAAGCACAGAGTTTAAAGTCACTGAATTGTTCATGAGCCCAGACCTAAAAAAAAAGCCATTTGGATGTTACACTCATTTGGAAAATAATGAGGTAAATGGAAGCTAACCAATCACAATAAGTTATTATGAATCTGCTAAATATATATCAAAGTGTCATTATTATAATTTCCAACCAATGGTACAGTTGGATAAGAAAGATAATCACAAACACTACAAGTAGGTAACTACCATCTCTCGATTCTGTCTTACAATAATCATAGGCTACTTACAATTCACATATTCACAACCAGATGCCATGCCAATATGCAAATAGTTGAATGAGATGCAATCCAGAATGTATGGCATGCTCTTGGAAGACATGTATGTCCTATCCTATGATAGAGGTTATGCTGGACTATATCAACACTCCTATATTAAACATTCAACATTGGTGCTAGGCTACCCTTACTGTCCATGGAGATCATATTGAAGTTAGATGTCCTCAAGTGGAAAGATGTAAAGCCATCTCTACCAAATATTCTTTTACAAGCTTAGGCCAAATGACCGATCATTTGTATTAAGGATAACATGACAAATCATGAAATTCATGATGTGTATGCAAATGAGCTCATGGGGTGGTGAAATTATTTCATAATATAGTGTTTGTCTTACCACATTAAATATATTACAAATTTCAATTAATTGTTTTGTGCCATGTATTTCACATATTAATCTCTACTATCAAAATAGGAATAAACCTCAGTAGTAAATTTAATTGCAGAGTTAGATAGCATCAAACTATAGCATCAAACTCTATTTTGTTATGAAAGAGTACAAAAGTACGTAAACAAAAATATCTAATCACATTTTCTCCTACACCTTAAGACAAATAAAGCTCTTTGAATATTATTCTCTTTCACAGATCTAACTGGGCTCAAAATTCAAAACTATAATACTCTGTCAATCATAGTAGAAGTTTATCTGATACGAATAAATAGTTTAATATTTTATTTCATAAATTATGTATAATCACATTTCATCATATAGGCAATTTAAATTTTTCAAATCAGATTTTCCAACAGCTATAAAGTATTAACAATAACATTAAACTAATATCTTCATATTCTTTAGATTCATAAACTGTCTTCAACACAAGAGTTCACTATTTAAACAATGACTTTCATTCATTTACACATCACTTAAAATGAGCTGAATTTGAATGAGCTTAGTAGGTACTATTTTATTTTTTCACAAGTATAACAAATAATAATGAAGAAGATTTTACAATCTTATCTGAAATGACACAACATTTTAAGCTTACCAACACAACTGTGCAGAAAGGTGTTATAAATAAATCCTTGGCTACATTGTTTTTTACATTCATAGCCACCAGCTGTGTTGTGACATTGCCCTTCCTCTGGACCGCAGGCATGAAGATTTTCTTCACATTCATCTACATCTAAGTAATCATAACAAGGGAAAAACTAGAATGAACATTCATATAAACACATATACACACTATAAAAGTACAATGAAAATGTATAACATATTGTTACGTCTCCATTTGTTAATTGATTTTTTCCGTAACTTCGTTCCAACGAAACTTT